GACAGACTTGGTGTCAGTGACCTCAACCACTCCGGCAGCTTTACCAGGCCTCCGACTGTCGACGCTGATCTCTTTAAGACCCTGGAACATCGGTCCGTACGTAAGGCCAGTGGCGTCAACACCGCGGTAGAATAATTGAACGTCCATCTTGTCTGCGCCAGCTGAAGACGAGGCGTTCCAATCCTTGACACAATCCTGAGCGAGCTGATCGTCCGAGGTAGTTTGACCTGATACCGAGACTAAGCCACGGCAGTTCTCAACCCAACCTCCATCTGCAGTGTAGGAGAAGATACGAAAGTCATGCCAGATCTCCGAAGATGACCCATCTGCGCTGGTGTTGCATTTCATCGACAAACAAGTCTCCACCCCCTCATCAGCTTCCGGTACAACGAGCGCTCTCGAAATATTGACCTCGCGAAGTCGATATTCAGCCGCACTACTAGCACCCTGCGGCAGGAAGGTAGACGGGGAGATCTTGCACATCTGCCGACACGCCTCAATAGCCATGCACAGATACCCACACGCCGGGAACAGCACATCAGACTGAACGACATGATCCCGCAGCCACGGCTGCTCGCGCAGGCGCATAAAGTTGCGGAACCTGGGCTCCATTGGGTTCCAGTCGTTGACCGGTGCGCCCAAGATATCGGTCCTACCAAACTGTCGGAAACGGTAGTCTCGGCTAAGGCGCGACTCCCACCAGTAGCGACGAGTGTGGTTCCAGGGATACTGGGGCAGATCGGTGAGCACGGATAGTGGCTGCTTGGGTTCGTTCGGGAAATTGATGGCGTGCAGATCGATCGGATATCGGTGGACGAATAGTTGGCCGGCCGCTTCGAGTGCGGTAACATCTGCGGGTTTGTTGCGGATCAGAGTGGAAAGATACTGTATCTGCGGTTTTTGATCGAATGTAGCGTCGAGGATTTCTTTGACTGGAAGTTTGAACAAGGCGTGTGGTCCAACTTCCAGCAGAATGTCCACAGCATTCTTGCCATTTTGTGAGTCCGAGGTACATAGCTTAGCCAACGCTCCAGAGAAGCGGACGCTGCCGACGAGGTTCGATACCCAGTAGTCGGCACCGAGCTGGTCTGGACTGATCACGTCTTCCGTCACGGAAGAGTACATCGTTATCCGCCCATTGGCCTTGATTGTCGCAACCTTTGTCTCTTGGAGACGGGCAAGATACTCCTCCGCGATTGCCTGCATGTGATGAGAATGATACGCAGTATCGACTTGAAGCAGTCGCGCAAAGACGCCTTTGGTTTCCAGGACCTTCTGCAAGTTCTCAATGGCAGCAACATCGCCAGAGATGGTGACGCCGCGGGGACTGTTCACACAAGCTACAACAGCTTTACCGAGGCCGTCAGCCAACTCCGCAATCTCGGTCTTCGCATCATCTTCGGATAGGCCAACCGCCATCATTCGTCCCTCAAGGCCCATACTCTTGACTTTGGGCGACAACAAGCCTCGGAAGTATGCGACAGTCATCGCCGACTCAACGCTCAGAGCACCGGTGGCATATGCAGCAGCAATCTCACCACTGGAGTGGCCAACTACACGCTGCGGACAAATGTTCCACGATGCAAGCAAATCCACCAATGCTATTTGCAGAGCAGTGCAAAGTGGCTGGCTAAACGTTGCTTCGTTGACCCGTGAGTTAGACTTGTCCTTCGACAGCTCTTCCATCAGTAACCACTCTGCACCTAACCCCGTCACGACAGACTCGCATCGTTGTAGGCTCTTCCGGAAGACTGGGTAGTGGAGTAGCTCTCTGCCCATACCCCACCACTGAGCACCTTGTCCAGTGAATATGAAGCCTATTCGCGGTGGTACTGCGCCACTAGCGGAGCTTGGTCGTACTTGCTGCAATCTAGTTTGCAGATCGGACTTGTCCGTCGCAACAATCGCGGCGCAATAGGAAAGTTGTGATCGACGTTCGCACAAAGTGTACGCCAGATTATCAAGTAGCTGCTCCTCGTTGAAGACATCCTGACGTTGAAGATGTTTCGACAAGTCCTGGCCCATCTGGACAAGACCTCGCTCATCGTTGGCGGACTGGAGGAAGAGACGCGATCTTGGTGTGTTGCTGAAGGATTCGTCACTCATAGGGCTGACGAAACCCGAATCGTTCCTTCTGTGACGAGCCGAGCGATGATACCGTTGAAGAAAGTGATGTGCATCGTCAAGAATGACGTGCGCATTGGTTCCACCGTAGCCGAAGGAGTTCACGCTTGCGCGCCGCAGACCGTCAAGGGGCCACTCTTTAGGCTCTGTGGGCACTTCGACCCGCCATCCTTCGAAGTCGATCGCTGGGTTGCCCCGTTGAAACCAGAGATTGGGTGCGATCATACCCTTCTCGACGCTTAGAATGGCCTTGATGAGTCCAGCAATGCCGCTAGCTCCCTCCAAATGGCCCATATTTGTCTTGACCGAGCCAATGGAGAGAGGAACGACTTGCTCGGTTGTCGCAGAGATGCGGCGGGGACGGCTTGTGGCAAACACCTCGCCAATTGCTCCACTTTCTATAGGATCACCTGCAGCCGTTCCTGTGCCGTGCGCTTCAAAGTATCCCGTCTCGCTTACGTCGATCCCTGCCGCACGATATGCGGAGCGTATAAGGTCGACCTGCGCGTCTTTCGAAGGCATCGTGATGCCAGGCGTTCGTCCGTCTGAACTGGCAGCCGTGCCGCGAATGATGGCTCGAATGGGGTCGTTGTCGCGTATAGCCAGATCTAGTGGCTTCAGTATGATTGCGCCAACACCTTCTCCTCGCGCATAGCCATTGGCTCGATCATCGAAGGCGTGCGATATCGAGTCTGGGCTCAGGAAGTGCATGTCGCTCATCTCGATTTGAATGTCAGGACTCAATATGAGGTTGCTTCCTCCTGCGATCGCCATGGAGCTTTCACCAGTGCGCAGGCTTTGGCACGCCAGATGCACTGCAACGAGTCCACTGCTGCAGGCTGTATCTATGCTCACACTCGGCCCCTTCAGGTTGAAGAAGTAGCTCAGGCGGTTCGAAAGCATCGTTTGCGAAGCCCCAGTTGACTGATACTTGGGTGCTAGCTCCATGTCTCGCCGTTGCATCTCCTCGTAGTCTTTTGTGAAGCAACCGACATAACATGAAGTCTGGGATCCGGACACTCGAGCTAGTGGCGTTCCTGAGTTCTCTAATGCCTCGTATGTCACCTCTAGCAGTAATCGCTGCATGGGGTCCATGGCCATGGCCTCGGCTGGCGATATCGAGAAGAACGGCGCATCGAAAAGCGAGACATCTTCAGCGAGATAATGCCCGCCGCGGTTGTTACACTTAGATTTGGGTCAGCAAAGCGGTCCGTACGATAGATAGCGTAAGCTTACCGTCCCGAAACGATCCCCATCGGGGTTGTAGAATGCATCAACGTTGAAGCGGTCTAGAGGTACTTCGGTGCGAGCCGACTTCTTCTCGACCAACATCTGCCATAGTTTCTCGCCGTTGGTAACGTCGCCTGGGAATCGGCAGCCAAAGCCAACAATGGCAATGGGCATTGGCTTGGTATCTTCATACGCCATTGTCGTGAGAGATCATGAAAAGTGTTGAACTTTGTGGACGACTTAGCACGAAAAGATGTTGAAGCAAACGCAGCTGATCAATGTGGCCATTGATAAGATGGCATCGAAGAGGCTTCTAAAGGTAGGATCAGGAGAGCCCTTGTTAATCGACACGAGATACCCCCAGACGAGGTTCGGCGATGAGGAGCCACACTGGTCACTGGGGTTTTGCGTACGTCGCGGAAAGCGGCCCTCCCTGACGCGCTTAGCTGCACAGTGTTAATCGCATCCTCTGCCACGCGTAAACCAACTGCCTAGTAATCAAGCACAGAGACGAGAACGCTCCCGTACAGTACATGAGGCCAGGGCATATCAGTAGCGCATCCTTCGCGCACTCGGTTGTCGTGAAGCCCATGACGAGCATTGCGCAGACGCATCCGTCGACAACACAAAGAGACGTCCATATCTGCATTCCAAGTTCTCTCTGCCCAATGGTTGCTGCTCTTTCGGAATTCCATCCTGTTATTGACAAATACTGGCCAAATCGGGAAAGGCTGTGGAGGCTATTGCCGCTCGATTCCCAGAACAGACATCATGCTAAGGTCATGCATGCGTAGCCACTTGTTTGGGACCTTGTTCGCTTGAGTAAGGTGAACGATCAGACTATCGCGATCTATGCTGTTACGTGGCTGTTAGTTGTTGGTCGCTACCAGAGGTAGTGGCGGGAGAGCTTCGGCCTGAGATAGATCAGTGGTGGAGTAGCAGCTTCGTTCTTGACGTCGGAATCAGTGACAACGGCAACAGCCTATCACGGGACTTCACCAGGCAATGGGAAGCCACCCGAACGCCTCAAGCGTGCCGCCCCGAAGGAGCAGGAAGCAGCGGTGTAGCCTGCACAAGTGCAGAATGCATGGCGTTTAGGAATGACGCGAAGGATTTCACCCATGAATGCGATCCTGCAGCTGTGTGTAACTGCAAGGGAGTACACAATGAGCCGAAGTGGTGTGGAGCTGCCCCGTTATAGACGAGCCGAAGTGGAGCGCGTGCATGCCCGTCATCGAATAGCAAGGTTACCGCTGCTTGTAGCGCGCTTCGTTCCTGTTCGTGTAACAAATTTTGCGCGCGTCGGGTGACATGGCTGCGGTGCCATGTCGGCCTGAACGCGTGGGGTGGATGAGGATGGAAGGATTGAGGTTCGGCGCGCGCAGGTGGTGACGAGGGGCATTTTCAGGCTAAACCGCTTGGCAGCAAGCGCCACAGCAGGCACGCCCCGATACGAGCAGTCGCAGAACTCACAACCTGCAGTCAATTCTCTGAAGGGAAGGGTAGCCGCAAGATACGTGTTGTTCGTCCAAATGAGGTATCTGCAAGTACATGGCCTGACTCCCGAGGTCGTCTCCTCCCAACTTCACAACGATTGGCTAGATTAAATGAATGCTACATCGGAAATAACATCGTTGAGACTCTCCTTACATGCGAGACGCAGTGCGCTTGGTACTTTCCTGAGCGGGTTCTCCCTGCAGCTGTTCGGCGTCATCCTCAGCAACCGAGCTCTTGACATCAGCCGACTCTTGCGCTGCGGGAGCGCCCTCAGCGTCGAGGTACGCCTCAATCAAACTCATGTTGCCTCTGCCGTGAATGGCCTTGATCTGCGAGACAAGTCAGTACCGCGCCACCTGTATACCGCTCACTGATAAGCTTACCTTGAGGCGTGGGTCGGCATCTGAAAGGAGACGACGGAATTGTTCCTCCGACCGTTGTTTGGCTCCGAGCATCAACATCATCATGAGATCGACCTGGCGCATGCGGTTGTCCGTGTATCGAGAGGCTTCACCAAGGGCTGGCATGACCACATCGTTGATCAAAATCGGCGTCCCGGCCGGGCTCTTTTCCAAAGCAGGGACTAGTGCTCTGAAGATGCGAATGCAGTCTTCGTCACTCCAGTTGTGAGTGATGTACCGCAGGAGATACGCCGCTGCACCCGATACAGGTTGCTTGGTGAAGAAGTCGTGTGGCATGAACGTGACTCGGCCATTGAGATCCGAGAAGTCGTTTTGTGATGCAGATGACAGCATGGTCAACGAGTCCTGGACGATGAGCTCCAGGTTGGGGAAAGTCTTTGCATAGTCAGTAAAACGCGCATAGTGTCTTCGGCATCGTATCCGCATACCCGAGCAAGATTGACGCTCATGTGGCCGCTTCCACCTCCAACATCGATGACCTTTCGGCCACTAATCTTATCCCATGGGAAGCTCTCCTTGAGATTGTCAAAATGCCTCTCAACTGTATTGTTTAGTTATGAGCTTGTACAAGGGTATCAATAACTCACGCCTTGAGACTCCCGCCATTGCACTGGCAAAGCGAGCTGCTCGCTTGGGATCTTGCTTGTAGTAATCGAAGAGAACGGTGCCATGTCGCGTCACAAAGGCATTTCTCTTGCCATCAGTGACTGTTGGTGACTCCTTGATGCTTTCCGAGGTCTCCGAAGCTGCCCTAAAGAACTCATCCAATCTTCAAACGAGTTAGCATTAGATTCAGTTGTGAAAGGCTGACCAAACACTCACTGGTAGGCCATGACATCGCGCCACTGCTTGTCCTTCAAGTAGAGCACGCTTCTTGACGTGTGCTTAAACACATCCGGCTCAACCTCTTCGAAGACGCGATCGGAGGACAGCATACGGAGGAAGCGACCGACGCGGTCTTCGTCCATGCCGGCCTTCTCGGCAATCTCTTTGGTGGTAGCTGATCCATCTTCTGGAATAGCTTCAAAGAAGTTGAACTCGCATGCTACTTGCCAGGCCGCCAAATCATATAGATAGCACACGAATGTTCGTGCATCGTTCCTGGGGCCGTTGACAAGACGGAGTAGGTCACGAGCGGCATCATTGAGACTATCGCGCAACTTGATGTGCTCCGGAGTTTCGGGAATGGTGTCTGAATCGATGGCGAATGAGGGCTCTGGCACCTTCTTCTCGGTCAAATCGGCGACGATCTGTGTGGTCAACTGCTGGACTTCCTTGGCCAGCTCAAGCAGGGTGGATTTGTGTTCGGCAATCATATTGTCTAATCGTTGTATACACTTGAAGCAGTTGTCAAGAGAAAGATGATGCGAAGTGAATCTTCCTGTCCTGCGTTCAAACTACCCATTATACTTCCGCTTCGTCGGGCTCATGTTGCTTACACGGCGGCGTTATGCAGGACGATGTTCTTGGAGTAGTGCTTGATGTGTCAGCTATCTGGGGCATGTCACTGGTGCTATCCAACGCCCTTAACGATGCTCGGCTGCACGCTGGAACATCCCGAATCGTATGGCAGGGCCCAATGGGAAGGACCCTCGCGCACCGAGAGACCAGATAGGATACGGAGTACGTACGTCTCCTGCATGCGCGTGCAGCGCACAATTCGGGCCTCTAGCTGCATGGTTCCTTGTGCACTCACGCGCATATGATTTTCGAGCAGAGGTCAGGAGAGACGTCTTTGGAAGGCCATGTTCCGATTCAGCGGATTACACTCACGCCCAGAGGTCTGCCTTCTGACTTCAGGTGCCCTCGCGTCGGCCCGGCGGAAAGCCAGCAATCTGAGACAAAGATCTTGACAGCGGGAGGCCACGGTGACTCCCGTCCTGCCGAAAGTTCAGGTATGTGCCTGAGTCAGGTCGATGCAGGATAAATAGACGCGCTGCAAACCCTGGTTGTGGACGTGGCAGAGGCCCCGCTCAAGTGAACCCGCCGCATGCTGCGCTGTAGGCGCCGAGAGCACCTATCGGCTCTACTATTACGCTAAAAAATTTCGGTATCGTAAGTGGTGCGATCAATTCCATTGTCTTGATGACAGCCGTTGGTCGGCGAAATGGGTGAAATGGGTGCGCGAGGATGATGGAAGCTCCAACGCTGGGACGGAATGGAAATGACTAAGCCTTTGACAAGCTAGCGCCGATTCGGACGGCACGTGCCCACGGGCCAACTCCGGCAACACGTGAAAGATCTCCATGTCATCTTCATAATTCGACAACCGCAATGCTTTTGTTGTCGCACCAGAGATGATGCATGCATGCTATACCGCCCCTACCTCAGTGCTTCAAGGGCTGTACGACGTACCGGCATACACTATCTGGGCAGCCGCAACTTGACTGCGTTCTTGAAACAGCGCTACCTCAGAATATAACGAAAGGGTGTACAATAGTCTCGACCCAATTGTGTTCGACTGAAAAAAGTCCTGCTCCTTGAAGCAGAGCTTCGTATCGCGTTGTGGTCACCTGTCCTCTAGACGATCGAGTGCCGGATTGGATTATGATGGCTGATAAATTGCTGATGACGACGCTGTCGAGCTGATGCTGAGCGCCGGGCATGGTAACGATCAACTGCCATCTCGTGGTTCACACGCTCGGATAATGTAGAAAAGGGTCTCGATGACGTCGTACAGGCGGGTCGTGCAGGGGTTGGGAGGTGCACCGAAAATCCGGGGGACCATCTCCACTCCCAACCCCTAAGGCTCACGAAGCTTTCCCTGTGTTTTTCACAACTCATACATTTTCCTTTGTTAGAACGCGTTTTCGTTATTTCCGGCAGTGGCAGATTCTCAGCACACCATTCAGATTTCTACGCGACAGTAGTCGGGCGCGTCTTACGCCACCTCGGATAGCTCCGCACCCCTGAAGCCCGAGTCGCGATGCCTGTCAACACCATCTCTGTGGGCGCGGCTGTGACGCCCACGGTTATCCAGACATATCTCTCGCATTACCTCAATCGCCGACCGCTTGCGCAAAAGCCCACGGCGCACATCTCGTACCACGAAGGCCTCGAGCTCATCCGTCGCTTTCTCCACTATGCCTCCTTCCACACGGTCGACGAATTGCAAGCCTTCACGTCGCAATGGGTTCCAGTACCGCGCTGGGTGCACGTAAATGTAGTCGAGGTTTCTGCGACTCTACTACAGCGCTCAGCAGAACTGCTCAATGCACAATTGGGGCCAGAAGGCATCAAGGCAGTCGGAGGAACGAATTGGTGGCAGTGGAGACGCGAAGGCACAACACTCAAGGCCGAGTGGATCGAGATGCGCAAGGACTACGACGCGAGGAAGCAGCTGGCAATCACCAAAGGCGACCGCATAATGCTCTATGTTCATGGCGGCGCATACTTTTTTGGCAGCGTCGACGAGCATCGCTATCAGATGCAGCGGCATGCGCGCAAGCTCAAAGCTAGGGTGCTGGCGCCCAAATACAGACTCGCGCCTCAGTTTCCTTTCCCCTGTGGTCTGCACGACTGTAAGTGGGTTGCTCGATGTCGAAGAAGGAATACTAACACCTCCAGGTCTGGCCGCCTACCTCTATCTTCTCGAACAAAAGCACGACCCTACGACGATTATACTCGCTGGCGACTCGGCAGGTGGCGGCATGGTACTCAGCATGCTCGTGACCATGCGCGACCAAGGCATACCATTGCCCGCAGGTGCCATCTTGATCAGTCCATGGGTGGATTTGACACACAGCTTCCCCAGTCTGGGTGGCGATAGCAAGATGGACTACATCCCCTCGCACGGTTTCATCCACAAGCCGAGCATGAGCTGGCGTAAGTTGGTCGTGTCCGTGTCGACGAGCAACTACTGACCACATACAGCACCTCCCAACGCAGACGATATGCTGGACATCGAAACATCCCTCAAGGGCTCGGTCAAGAAGAAGAACAGTTCCGACAAGACGGAGGACAAGGCAGCAAAGAAGGAGGCGGAAGCTGAGCGCGTACGAGGCTACTCCGTCCAATCTGGAGATCGACCACCTCTAGAAGAGGCCGCGGATCCATCAGCTACAGGACAAGGCATGGGTACTTGGATCTCGTCAAATGGTAAATACAGCATTGGACCCAAGAGCCAGCTATCAGTCCAGCTCGAAGATGAACGCGTCGAGATCAAGGACCAGATCCAGATGTACGCCCCGAATCATCTCTTGACACATCCTCTGGTGTCGCCAGTGCTACAGCCAACACTCGGAGGGCTGCCACCTCTACTCATCCAAACGGGAGGTGGTGAGCTACTCAGAGACGAGCAGATTTACCTCGCGCATAAAGCTGCGCAACCGCTGGCCTACATACCCCCACCTTCCAACAACCAGACCGCCGAATCCATACAAGCTCAAGCCGCCAGCTACAGGCCTACGAACGTTCAGCTCCAGGTATGGGATGATCTATGTCACGTCGCACCTACGCTCAGCTTCACCCGCCCAGCAAAGCACATGTACCGCAGTATCGCCCAATTCGGCGCTTGGGCGCTTGCACGCGCTCAGAAGAAGTCCATCGACATCCTCGACGATGACGACATCTCCTTCATGAGCAGTGATTCAGGCACTTCGTCTGAATCTGACAAGGCTGGTTCCGGTTCTTCGTCAGACGACCCCAAGTCCGCGGACAAACATCCCAAACCCACAAAAGCCGAGAAGAAAGCCGCTCAAGATGCACGCGTTGGTCGAGCTGGTGACGCGATTCCTCCTTTCGAGCGCCATATGATCCGCCAGCGCATCGATCGACACGGGCGCATCTATGCACTCCCCCCGAAGGAAGAGCTTGTTGCACTGAACATCCCTAGCGTTGACGTGGGCGTGCCAAAGACAGGACCCGTCAGCAAATGGATGAAGGCGCAATCTCAGTGGAACAACAAGTTCTCCAAGCAGAAGATCAAGATTCAGAAGCAGCGTATTAAGGATATGCAGAAAGGCTTCGAAGGCTTCGAGGGCGAGACACCCCCACCAACTGCCTTGGCTGGTAGGAGAATCAAGGGCATGAAGGCCGAGAAGGCGAAGAAGAGGAGTTGGGGTATGTCGATGTGGGCTGGATGGGGCAGTAAGCATGACTCAGCTACTGTAAGTGCACTCACTCTCAACGTCAGCCACGACAACGTTACTAACACGCCTCAGATCGTCCGAGAAGAAAAGGCAGACCAGAACCCCGACACTGAACCCTCTACCTCCGCCCAAGATCCAGCCAACACCCCCACCGACGGCACAACAGAAAGCAAGCCAACCCGCAGCCGCGCCAACAACCTCACCACCCCCGGCATAAAACGCTCGCGCTCCCACTCCCGCCACTCCGCCGTAACCGACAAAGGCCAAACCGGTCTTCCCCTAGACGACCTCTCCAAGATCAAGATCGACCTACCCACCCCGGGCCTCGCCGACGCAACGACGCTCGCCCCAGAACGCTCTGCCTCGCCCCTCCCCTCCCCCACAAGCACAAGCGAACTCAGTCAGCCCGGTATCGGTATGGGTATCCCACCCAACATAATCGTCTCCGACAACCCCGACAACTCCAGCACCATCATTCCCGAAACAGATACTTTGACTACCCGACCCACGGCTGGCGGTATCGCGTATCCGTTTAGTTTGAAAGTTGATGGCCCGGATGGGAGGGATGTTAATGCTAGTACGCTTACGCTTGCGAGTTTGAATGTTAGTACGCCGCCGGCTGTTGATGAGGAGAAGCAATTGGGCAGTATGGTGATGGGGGGTGAGAGTGAGAGTGTGAATGAACGGATTTTGAAGGAGGAGAGCGTGAATGAACAAGTTTTGAAGGAGGAGAGACCGGGTGTTGAGCGGTGGTTTACTGCTGGGGCTGGGGCGGGGCTGTTTAGTGATGGTGTGGTGGAGGAGAGGGCGGAAGAGGGGGAGAAGGTGGAGAGGCCGGGGGTTGAGAGGTTTGAGACTGCGATGGATGGGCTGGGTATGGGCGCTGCTGGTGATGGTGGGAAGGCGTGAGGTTTGCGAGGTTTGATGTTGGGTGGAGAGTTGTCAAAAGATTGAGAGTGAGGAAGGGGAAGTAAAATTACTGTAGATACCCATTTTCTTACTGTTCGTAATCTTAATACAAACGTACACATCTTATCGCATGCACATGTAGGAGATCAACCAGTAGAAAGAAGGAGTTGAACATCTACCTATGAGAAGGCTACATCGTCTTGGCGGTACAACAGGTCTCATCTTTATACCATGGTATGCGGCAGCGTACCGGTGCATTTCGTACCTCGTACGAGGCGGCACTGTATGTTAAATACACGAACGCGTATCGTAAAAATATATCCGACCTTGCGTGTTTAGCATAATTGTGAAAAACTACCCTGATTCCGTCCTCCCTAAGTTTAATCACCCCGACTTTCTGGTACGCTCTCGAAGATGCAACCACCGCAAACGGATGCTTGGCTGTCGTACCAGGTAGTCATAGATCGCGGCCTGTTACACGACGGTGTCGTCGGGATAAGAATGGGCTGCCTGAGTTTGTGGAGCTAGACGAGCCCGTGCATGCTACTGTAGACGGTGTATCGACGACTACCCCGATCCCGCAGAAAAATGATAACGGAGATCTGGTGTTCGAGCAGCTCGAGGTCAAGGCTGGGACATTGATACTAATGCATGGAAACCTTGTGCATACTAGTGAAGCCAACAAGAGTGGAAAGAGCCGCGTCGCGTTCAACTTTGGCGTGGTTGAGGGGACGCACGAGTGGTTGGCAAATAACTATTTGCAGCCTTACGAGGGTGAGACAGAGTTTGAGCAGCTTCGTTCTTGTTAGTGGGGGGTGCGCGATGGAAGTGCATGAGCGAAAAGGTACCTAGATAGTGTAGAGGAGGAAGGCAAGTGTCGATGGCTCGGGCTCGGGGTGGGTGGGTTCTTCGGCGATGACGCAATCATGCATTATGGAACGTGCTCAACACCTACACCTGGCGCTCATCAAAGAATCTCCCTTGGCGCATACGAAGGCCTCCATCCCAATGAAGGTGTTGCTCATGATCGAACCAGGAGGTATTCGTAGAGTTTGGCGTCGATGCAGTGAGTCGACGTAAGACGTGTATAGCTCCAGGCTACGGGCTATCTCTTGCCTGCCAGGCTCGAAGGCGCAACGTATCCACGAGACATAGCGCACAAAACCGTACAACGCGCTCCACAATCATAGACAGTGGCTGGTGGAAGTTGTAGAACAAGCACTTCTCGCTTACTCATCTTCGCTGCACGTAAGCTGGCTATGCTTGATCCTCTCGCTTGTTGTCAGATTGCAATCGCGCCTGCCGTCTTTTGCAGAGTGCAGGCGCATGAACCCCACCACATCTCATGCCGCCCCTTCAAACACTATACACCACGTCTCACGGACACTCCGGCTTTTCGACCGCGACATGACGCCGACGCTACCTCGCGCGCCCCTGTGGTCAGATCAGGCAGAACCTGACACCTGCGGCTGGAGTTATGGCTTTCACCAGGGGGGAAACACTCTGTCAAGCATCCGCAAGTCTGCACACAATGGCTGCATTAGATGCAAACTACTTCTTGATGGCATTGAGAAGTACACCTTCCTTCCTTACCGCCCTCAGCGAACCACCGAAGCCACGCTTAGTGAGTACGAGCCCGATCCGGGTCTCAGGGTTCACGTCCGCAACGATCCAGAGCTACCTCTACGGGTGTTGGTACAATATACAGGCATGGCAACTAAGTCAGGGAGCCTGCCCATGGAGTTGTATTTCTACAACAACCCCGGTTCGTTTAACACCACAAGAGATACGGCACCTACGTCATTCGCTTACCTTCTTCAGAGAAGCCACCTGCCTTCTCAGACATCCAGCCAGCAGGGCATATTTCCTCTAACCCTGCCTCTCAAGCATGTTTTAGCACAGTGAGAGAATGGATCAGACAATGCGACACTCTACACCCAAAATGCTTCTCCAAAGAAGATATCTCAACGACACCAACGAGGCTCATCTGGGTCGGTTCATCTTCAAACGACATAAAATTGTGCCACTCGAGTGAAATGTCAGCCGGCGCCCGATATGTTGCTTTGAGTCACACATGGGGCGTGAAAGAAGAGCGTAGGAAAGCCATGCCGTTACTCTTGAGAGGAAATTTATCTGCGCGGGTACTCGGAATTCCTTGGAATGAGCTCACTCACACGTTCCAGGATGCTGTCACGATTACCAGAAACATCGGCATTCCATATGTTTGGATAGACTCATTGTGCATTGTACAAGACGATCGTGAGGACTGGGCAAAAGAGGCCGCCCGTATGGCATCGGTCTACAAGTACGCCTACGTGGTCGTTGCTGCGACAAGCTCGAAGAACGGTGACGATGGTTGTCTTCGTCCCAGGGACCCAAGTCACGACCTCGTAGACCCACCCAACGGTAGCTTTCATGTACAACGACAGATTAGCCACCGCACAATCATTGAGTGGCAAGCAGAGAGTACCACCATGCCTCTTCTGGATCGAGCGTGGTGCTTTCAAGAGCGACTGCTTGCGTCCCGAATACTCCACTATACCGATCAAGAGATGATGTGGGAATGTCAAGAACAACTTTGGTGTGAATGTCAAACTATCAGATTCGACGACCCATCAGCAAAAGTCGATTTCGACAATCCATTGACATCAAAACTGGATACCTTCAAGCTCTCTTACGCCGCCGCGGTGGCATCGATAGACCCTGATATACGTGCCAGCTCATGGAACAAGGTCGTGAGAGAGTATTCTCAGCGGGCATTAACCTTCGGCACCGATCGACTTCCTGGTATCTCTGGAATCGCTAACGAAATTGCGCTGCCATTGATGGGCAGATATCTAGCCGGTCTGTGGGAATTCCAACTCCCTGAAGCGCTCTTGTGGGAGACTGTAGGTGGAGTGATCGACCGTCCATGGGTACTTCCAAGACCTTTGCAATATGCGGCGCCCACGTGGTCTTGGGCGTCGACACTTACAGCCGTCGCTCTAAGAGAAAAGAATCCAGTGGCCAAGTCCACAGTATGGGTCTGTCGGGTGATAGATGTGACATGTACACCACAGACCGCAAATCCTTACGGACACGTTCGAGATGGGCGATTGAAAATATCCGGGCCGACAATAGGAGCGACCCTGATGCGCACAGATCGTGTGTCTGAAGCAACCCGCTACGATGTCTTCCTGGAGAACCGGGACTCTGAGGCACCAGAGAAGGCAGCAAAACTCGACATGACGAGTGATATCGAGCTGATAGAGACTGTTGTAAGTGTGGTGCTATTGGTTATAGAGACCTGGTCCTACGATACGAGCTCTGAACGCCGGGTTGCCTGTCTCGCATTGGTCAAGTCAAAGACTCATAGTGAGTGCTATGAGAGGGTCGGAATCGTCAGCGGACGGGGACTGGAGTTGTCTCAGACCAAGGACTGTGAATTCATTATCGTCTAGCTCCGCCTCGGAGATATCATAACCCCGCATGACATCACCTCGGTATTCCCAGAAGACGACACCACGACACCACAACCTTCTCCCATTGCAATCCATTGAACACATTCAATATACACTACATCAAGCCTCCGGGTTCTATACTTCCAGCATGTCCGTATTCCGCCCCTCAGCACACGCCCTAATAACAGGCGGCGCATCCGGCGTCGGCTACGCCGTCGCCCAACTCTGTTTGAAACACTCAATGCGCGTCTCCATCGTCGATTTCAACCAGTCCTCCCTCGAAATCGCACGCAAGAACCTCTCCGGCGACGTAAAATGTATCCAAGCGGACGTCTCCTCCCGCTCCGACTGGGCGTCTATCCGCCAACAAGTCGGTACTGACGTTGACTTCCTTATGCTAAACGCCGGCATCGGCGGAAAAGGAACGTGGGGTGATGAAGATTACTTTGACAAGATCTTGGCTACGAATCTAGGGGGCGTGGTAAATGGCTTGAATGCGTATGTTCCGAGTTTCAAGGAGAGAGCGGGGAAAGACGGGAAGGGGGAAAGTGCGATTGTGATTACGGGAAGTAAACAGGGTATCACGAATCCACCTGGTAATCCAGCGTATAATGCTAGTAAAGCGGCTGTGAAGACGCTGGCTGAGCATTTGAGCTATGATTTGAAGGACGCAGGTGTTGGGGTGCATTTGTTGGTTCCGGGGTGGACGTTTACTGGGCTTGTAAGTCGTGTTGCTCTTGTTCATCGGCAACAACTAACGCACATCACAGTCTGGGAACGAGCCGGGCTCTACCAAGGCCAAACCGGAAGGTGCGTGGTCAGCCGACCAGGTCGCTGACTACATGTACACCAAGATGCAAGCCAAGAAATTCTACATCATCTGTCCCGACGACCAGGTCACGGAGGAGACGGACAAGAAGCGCATGTTGTGGAGTGTTGGGGATATCGTGAATGAGCGGCCACCCTTGACTCGATGGAGGGAGGAGTATAAGGAGGAGGCTGAGAAATGGATGGCGGAGCAGAAAGTGTAGAGAATATGATACCTAGGTATCTTCCTATTCCCAACCACCACCCCTCTTAATATCATCCCCACTTCAAACCGACAAAATCTTATGTTTACCCATCTCCTCATCAAGTAACTCCTTAATCTTCTCATGATACCTGTCAATCCCACTCGGCCTGCTCATCGCCACCCAAAGATCCTCCGGCACATCCACCCCCTTCTCAAGCTCACACGTCAAATTCCGCGTAAACAACGTTAGCCCGACCCCAGCTTCCACAAACGTATACGTGATCCAACAGTACCCCTGTACACCACCACTTCCATCTTCCCTAGCAGCGATGTCATTGACTTGCCGGAACGCGAATTTGCGACCGCGGTCCGCGATTTCAAGGATCTGAGATGGTGGTGTACGAAGTCAGCTTATGTCTCAGGAGCTGTTTTGCATGGGAAGATTTACCCATTTGGGGTGGTACGTGTTGTTTGGCAAAGCGACTTTTTCGGTCCACACGTCGCCGACTTTGAGAGGGAGAGAGAGGTTTTGGCCTGGGGGTAGGCCGGAGCTGCCGGCGTAGGTGCGGCCCCAGTTTGAGGGGTTGGAGACGAAGTCGTAGATTATTTCGGGGGGGTAGTTGAATATTGTTGAGGAGGTTACGCTCATGACGCCCATGATGAGGTGTTGTGAGGGTTGCGGTAGAGGTGGTGGTCGTCGAGATGGTACCTGTTCTGGTCTGGTGTCAAGGTAAGGATATCGTAGCCAGCGGATAGGCGCAGAAGAAGGGCGAAGATGTTGCGGTTAGCAATGAGGTTTGGAAGAAGTGGAAGAGCGACAGATTGAAACAGCGGGCGAAGTTAAGCATCTCAAGTATGGTACTGTGAAGGCACCTCTCCGGACCGTCATGATTGGAAGGCATGGGCACCGGCTATTCGACGCACGCCGATCCGCTGACGTATGTCACGATGACTGATCCCCACGTCTGGCCCAAGCTACCATGAGACTTGCTTTTGCGCCGCTCTTTGGAATCGCGGCCGAACAGGCGGGGTGAGCTCCGCACGCCGATCATCTAAGCCTCTTGGACTTCATGATGGAATGCGTCCAACATTGTGCGCGCAAAGCCTAGATTCGCGCATCGATGTGAGAGGTAAAGTGAGGAGACTGCAGTATGCCTTGCACTTGCTGAGGATACTTCGTAACCAGAATAGTTTGCATTGCGATGGTATCATGTCTATGCCTCCTTGATCAACTTGCGCGTCGCGCTCTCCATCCAGAGCTTAGTGTACAGCCTATGCAGCCACTGAATATGCCCAGGTTGCGGCCCAGCGTCCTTGCCCTCTGGCGTCGTATCTACGAAAACAGACTTCAGGTGGAAGGTAGCCATCTGCGCCGCATCGTCTTTCGAGACCTCCATAGAGAAGAGACCGTCGGAGGGTCGGGGCTCGGAAACGTGTGGTGAGTCGCCGCATCGAACGATGACCTAGAGACACGTCAAGTCAGCCAACAAACCCCAATGCGATCACCTGAAGTTCTTACCTTATCATCCTTATGCTCCACAACTTCAAAGTGATCCACAATCTTCGTCCCAACCTTGTACTCGCTCTTCGCCAACTCCTTCACATCCCAAAGATGGCTATCCCTACCCTCCACATTCCGATACCACTTCTCCAACAACCTCCTCTGCACCCTAAACGCCACGCCGCTCCAAATCCCGCGACAGAAATCCGTCGTGAGAGCCGGTTGATCAACCGATATCCTGCCCCCATCGCCCTTGACCCAGTACTTCTCCGGCAGCTTCCCATACGGAATCTGCTTCACCGCATGGTCTATGCAGCCGGGCGGGTTGCCGTTGGGGTTGTGCGCGCGGAAGACGGCTGTGGTGAGGTCGGGGGAGGAGGCGTCGTAAGGCACGAATTTTGTGTTGCGCGTGTAGAAGGAGGAGACGCTGTAGGCGAGGAGGACGTTGGCGGAGAGGCCGCCGGTTATGCCGACGAGGACGCCGAGGAAGCGCTTCGGGCCTGAGATGCGTTTTATTGTTGGGGGCTTGGAGATTGTGTTCATCGTGACGGTGTGAGGGGAATGAGACGGTGGTGGAGGAATTGGGGGTCAAGCCCTGCGTGGAGTGGAAGGAGAGGGACGGCGTTCGCAGCGCAATTGTCGCGTGGGGTGGTCGGAATGTTTTGGTGTTGAGAAGCTTGGACCCTCGGTGGGTTTTGGATGCCGAGGGTGCGTCGGCGAATGCTCAAGCTCAGACACCGACATCTTCATCTCGTCACTGCAGTCGCCTTGATTCTATCTTCACGATTACATTACTGGTACTAACAACAGGGCTATATATCTACTCAATGCAGATGCGCAAGCGCGATACCAGAGTACGCGCTGTCTGTCTCGTAGATCTTCTTCTTCCTCCCTCCGTCCATGTCGAACCTGTACACGGTACCACCAAGGTCAGTCAAGTAGACGTGCCGGTTCACAGCATCAATCTTCAATCCAATCGGCTCGTGGAAGTGCCTCGCTAGCGTTACAACATCTTTCTCCTCCTTCATCTCGGCACCTACATACGCCTTGTTCAGCGTGTTGCCGAGCGGATACTCGCCACGGTCGGTCCAGTACAGCGTTTGGCTGTCAGCTTCGAATTCTAGATCGATGGGTTCAGGAAGGTGGTCGAAAAGCAGTTCAATGTCGGAGCGGGATGATGCTGTCTCGTTGGCAGGCATCTGCATGTTTGCGCGGAAGATGCGGCCCTTGCCGCCCTTTGACGGGCCCTTCTGAGACCAGTAGAACTTCCCGCCCTGAGGATCGACTGCGATACCAACACACCAGTTGGTCTGGTCTTCTCCTTCCGCTGAGCTGGAGTCGCCGGTCTGCACGATGATCTCGTGGTTGCTGCCGTCAAAGTCGCATCGGTGGACGCGCAGGCCTTCCCGGTCGCAGATGTACAGCTTCTTGTTCTCGTGGTCGATCTTAAGCTGCTTCGGTGTGTGGATCTGACCTTCCGGAATGATGGCTTGGACGTCAGTGCCATCGAGGTTCGCGGATATGACACTGCCGTTGTTCTTCGCGGGAGACGCGCCCATGTTCGTCCAGAAGATACGACCAGCTGAGATGGATACGTCGATACCGTCTGGCATGGCTTGGCCACCCACAATCTCGCGCACATTGCTTCCATCCGCTGAAGCAGTCATGATCTTGCCGGAGGTAGCCATCTTCTGCAAGTCGGTAACATTGCCTCCGATGCCAATATCGAGGAAGTACAGTCTGGGCGCCGCAAGGTTGTCGTGATGGCCGCTCTCGTCCTTGGAGCTCCGCGTCGTCTCACCAGCAGGATACAGACCGCCTTTGCCAGACTTCGCGCCGAGCTTGCCCTTCTCGACAAAATTCTTCTGGACCCAGTCCCGCGCTGTGGGGTCGCCGCCGCGTTCTTCAACATAGTTGTTCTCGATGAACGCAACCGTATCTAATCCGACCGCATCCATCATTCCGCAAGGTCCAACCGGGTTATCCTTGAACATCGTTAAGAAAAGCCTGTCGATCTCCTCCGGCTCCGACACGCCCTCCGCCATGATGAGCAGGCTCTCCCGCTTGATGGCGGCCCACAGTCGGTTGAAGATGAAACCGGTCGACTCCTTGCGCGCGATAGCCGGTGTCATACCCGCATCATGAAGTTTGCTTTGCAGAAACGGCAGAATGTCTGCATGCGTCTCACCGCACGTCATAAGCTCGACAACGTTGTTGCCCGGAGGCATGTAGTAATGCATGTTGCAAACGCGATGCCGACTACCCGCGTCCACCTTATCGAGCATGAACCGCGACTTGTACGACGACGAGTTGGAAGCTAGGATACAATCCTTCAGTGCTTGTTGTTGAAGCTGGCCCATGATGTCGATCTTCAACGGAAGCTTCTCTGGCAGCGCTTCAACCACCAACCACGCGTTCTTGACCGCCTCTCCGATGTCTTTAACGGTGTTGAATTGCGTTGGTTTCCGCGCGTTGCCGGTCAGTTTCGCGAATTCGTCCATGTGGTGTTCGATGTAGTGTGTTGCGGCGTTCCTCTGCTCGTCACTGAGATCGCACAACACGACCTCATAGCCGGCGGCGACCCATGAAGCAGCGATTCGTCGACCGAGGACTCCTCCGCCCAGAACGGCGACTGGTCGAGATGATGTGTCCGGTGCCGTCCATTGCGGTTGTGTGCTGCTGGATGCAGCTCGTGTTTGCGTGTTCGACATGATTGAGTATGATAACGGTGTTGATCGAGTGCGAAAAGATGTATTGACAGTTCTCAATTCCGGTTCCAGTGTAGTTATACGCGTGCTCAAGCATCGCGTCGTCGCATAGCTCGCAGAGGGCTCGGCCGAGACCCGCCGAACGCCTCTTGTCAGTCGTCTTGCGCAAAGAGACATTTTCGTTGTCGCGGTGTATTAGTCCAGACGATAACTGCTGCTGCTGGGCTATCGCTGATACCGCGACTTTCTCAAGCGCGTCTAGATGCGTGTTGTATACCATTGGTTGACGCTAATGCAGCCTAGAAGCATGTTGGTGTTGCGTCACTGCCCAACAGCTCGGTAGACATCCGTGCAGTGCCGCCCCGGTGGCGACGTCATTCGTACGGTGCTTTTTGTGTCGTGCGAGATGGGTGTTGGGGCGTGCGAGACGGTGGGCGGTGGTATGTCGGCCGAACTTCATGCATGCTGCGCGAACTTGTCGACTTGAGTTGTTGCTGCATATGCGACTATGACGATTGTCAGGATACGCGCGCAGAAGTTGGAAAGTGATGGGTGTGTTGATGGTAAAGTTCATTTTGGAAAGGTTGATAATTGCAATGCATTATGAAATTTGTATGTTTAACAAGTCTAGATCACTACCCTTTTTAACCCAACTACTCCGACAACACCACTGCCACAACCCCAACATCCCTAGAATCCACAGCAGATCAAACACGATAATCACTGGAAAGTGAAGATCTCATCCTGAGGCTTCGAGATTTTGCCTAAGCCCTCGTTAGCAGTATTCCACGCAACATCATCAGACAGTCTCAACATACCAGGTGCCTTAAACCCCCGTTCCTGCAAATACCCAACCATACTCTCCATCATCGGATCCGGCCCGCAAACAAGAACCTTGCTATCCATACCCGCCGGCGCAGGCAGACGCTGCTCAATCATGCTCTTGCTGATACGCCCCTTCTCGCCTTTCCAGCTCTCCGAAGGGCTGCTCAAAACGTAGTGCACATTAAACTGCTCGTACGTCTCCGCAAACTTGTCGAGTTCATCCTTGAGCAGGATGTCTTCTTCAGTCTTATTGGCATAAAGCAGCGTCGTCCTGGTATCGTCGCGCGGGTCTTCGCAGATACGGCGGATGATCTGGAACATGGGTGTTATACCCGTGCCACCAGCGATCATACCGAGTTCCTTGACGAGGTTCTTGTGGTATTTCATCTCGCCCTTGGGTCCACGGATCTCAACGGTGTCGCCGACGTTCAGCTTGCTCAACCAGGGTGTCAGTTTACCACCCTCGTAGATCTTGACAGTGAGTTCCAGACGTCCGCGGTCCTTGTTGCTAGACGTAGGCGTGTAAGAGCGCGCGAGTTGCTTCCCGTCGACTTCGTGTCTGATGGCAATGTGTTGGCCCGTCGGCAGCCCCAACACGGAGTTCTCATTCGGCAGCCCGAAGACGAAGCGGATTGTGTCGTGGGAGATGTTGAATTTGTCGATTAAGGGGAAGGGCTGGTAGACGCGGGCGTTGAGTACGCCGAGATTGATATCCTTTTTCTTCGTTGGCTTCGACGACATGGATTTGGCTTTGATGTGCGCGGGGTAGGATTGGAAGTCTTTGTGCGCGACGTCGAAGCTCTTGGTTGCCCATAGGCTGGCGTAGCCGGCTAGAGCCATGCTCGCGATGGAGGACACGGCGAAACCCTTCCAGAAACCGGCGCTTTGGAGTCGGTGCAGCAGCGGCGAGAAGCGTCGGCCTGCGACTATGGAGAGCACGACAGATGTCAGACCAAATCCAATAGCTCCAAGATGCAACCGCCACGATTTCGGCGGCGGCAAGTTGTTAACAACGTGTACTCTGCTCGGCGTGATCGTGGGCATCTTTGCGGCTTCATGGTCGGTCCAGTCCTCGTCTGCGATGCGCCCAATGCGGAAGTTCTCGAGGATCTCGCGTGCGTCGGTGGAATGGCCGATGTCTTCGTAGGCGGTTGTTGCGTCTGTGCCGGCGTTCTCCAGCAAGAACTCTTTACCACCAGGGTGGTCTTCTTGGTAGTCCGTCACATTGTAGACGTGGTTCCAGAGGGTGACCCATAGATCGGTCTTGCTGGTATGCTTCGCTACCTCCTGGAGAGTGTATACACCGTCGGCCATGGCTTGAATGAGATGAAAGACAGAGTTGCGTTCCGTCCGTCACAAAGGGGGCGTCAGGTCGAATAACTGCGACGATGAAAGCCTCCAGCCAAGACCCTTCATCGTCGCAATAGCCCCATGCAGCAAATGCGCAACGGGCATACCGATCCACTATCCACTACGTCTGCGCGCGACCGAGATCTCGGACATTCGCAGCATCAGGATCTGTTGTTGCGCCATGACAAATGACAGCGCTATTGCGCAGCGGCTACCACGAGGTGTCCGGTGTTGGTGGAGCCAAGCCCCCCACTTACCTCGGCATCTCGATGCTTAAACCAATCAAGCCTCCGCTGACAATCGGAGGTGCCACCACGCGAGTGGCCTCTGTCCAAGCTTCTTCCGCGCAACGCATACTTGCTAAATCTGTTACCTCGAACGAAATTTCGATCAACGGCTTCGGCCGGGCTGGGTTCGCACGACCTGCAGTGTTTTTTGCTTTATTTTGGCGCGCGTTGAAGGGTGCATTGGGCTCTTCGGCGCTTTTCTTCGTACGATGGAGTGCAGGCCGGAGGTTGGTCGGTGGCGATGCGTCATTTCTACGGACTAGACGAGACCTGCAGGTGGTGGGTTGCGGATGGATACGTAGTTTGGTGTGCTCTCATTTAGTCGCGTTATAGTCCTGTCAAGATTGTGATGCCTCAACCGTTATTCCATACTTTGCTACGCTTCGCTACGCAACATCATGACTATCAAGGGCTTTTACCTCGTTGGGCAGGACAAGAATGTCTTTCGCCAGGATATCCACATTGATCAGTATCACGACTTTGAGGCGCTGCAGGTTGCTGTAGCGGAGCAGTACAATATTATCCAGTCGACTGGTATGTGAGATGATTGTACTGATGCGGGCATGGACTTACGATGCACAGGTATCGGGCTGCAAGATGCCAAAGGAGAGGACCTCCATGATTTGGACGATGTGTTGGATTGCGATGAGGATATAGGCATTACGGTCGACGGTCAGGCCATTCGCGACCCTTCAGGCCCAGAGGGTCTTCCTTTCGTGGGAAGCTACTACGAGGTCTTTCCCGATCATCTCGTGAGTTCAACTTGAGAAGCGCGCGAACTACCACTAACGCGACCAGGGAAACCATGCGCGTCTTTTCCAGAAGTATGGATCTTTGATCAAGTACGAGACGATGGGCAAGCAGAATTACCTGACCAATGACCCTGCTATTGCGACTGTGGCTTTCCAAGAGTCGGCATTCTTCAGCAAACACATCACTCCCGAGCATCCTTTGGCGGGTATCAAGGATAACAGGGCGTTGTTCATTTGCGACACCGACACTGATGCGTGGAGGCAAGCGCATAAGTTCATCCCGCCTTCCATGGCACCCAAGGCTATCAGACACTACACACCTCTCATGGAAGCCTCGGTAAAAGACTCGTTCAAGGTCTTTGACCAGCTCGATGAGCAGGGCGAAGCCTGGAACGTCTACCAGTACATGCTGAAGCTCGCATCTCAAACCGTCTTCAAGTTTGCGCTCGGATACGACGCCCACCATTTCGACAACCCCGATGCGCCGCTGAGCGAGCTAGTCATCTTGATCGCTCAATCCCTCTCCCTGAACAAGAAGGTCGCGTCAAGAGGTGCCTGGTACGCAAAGCTCAGCGCCATCCCCTTCACAGCAGCCTACGACCTCGACAAGATCCGCTACAGACTATGGACCATCCTCAACCAAGCCATCGACCAAGCCCCCAAAGGCAGCAACGAAGACGACCTACCCCTGCAATCCGCAGCCCTAGGAGCCAGCTGCGTAGTCGACTACCTCAAGCGCGCCACCGACGACAACGGCAACAAACTCCCCCGCGAACTCGTCATCCCAAACATGCTGCCCATCTCCGGCGCGGGCTTCACAACAACCTCTTCCCTCCTCTCCTGGCTCCTCTACTCCCTCTGCGTCTACGAAGGCAACCAAGACCGGCTCCTCCAGGAACTCGTCGACGCCGGCGTGAATGAGAACACAAAGTGGACACCTGAGCTCTCCGACGGCCTCACTTTCCTCGACAAGTTCGTCAAGGAGACCCAGCGTTTGCATAACCCTTCTTTCCAACCTGGACGCACCGCCAAGGTCGATTGTATCGTCCCCGGCGGCTACAAGCTGCCCGCCGGCTCCGTCGTCATCTGCGCCCTGCACGCCATCCACAACAACCCTTCGATCTGGTCGAACCCCGACCGATTCGACCCCGACCGCTGGGGCACAGAGGAGGTTTCCAACCGCCCTAAGAACTCGTACATGCCGTTTGCGACCGGCCCGCGTAGTTGTATTGGTTTCAACTTTGCGCTTGGAGAGGTTAAAGTGCTGCTTCCGGAGTTGGTGTATAGGTATGAGTTTAGCAAGGAGGGAGAGGAGGCGGTGACGTATGACCCTGAGTTCCAGCTTATTCGGCCGATGAACTTTTATGTTAGGGCGAGGAGGAGGACGAGTTGGCCCGAGCCGACGAAGGGGGCGAAGAAGATTGCTGTGGAGTATCAGGAGGGGGAGGAGAAGCCGCCGATTTAATCATCAGAACTAGCGTACGATGTGGTAGGATACTCACTGAAAGCTTATGTTATATTGTTGATAGTTATCTAATACAACCCTTTCTTCAAAACTAAGCTCGCCTTATCCTAGATACTCCGCCCAACTCGGTTTGTGAGTGTCGTCAGTTTGTGGTCCCCACTCATTCACCATCCTCACGTGCCATGCATTTGCATAAGCAAACAACGCGCATCCAAGGTTCATCAAGATAAATGTACCTGTAAAGAACTCATCCATGGAACCATTCGCACCACACAAGTGTCGCAAGAATGTAGACAGAAAGCCAACAAATAAGATACGATGGAGTACATAAAACCCCATAGGCACCAAGAGAGGAAGGATGATAACGCCGTACATCGCAGTCACCACAACCGCTATGCGGACGAGACGCCAATCGCCCCAACCTGATTTTGACGACGTAGGCCACCAAAAAGTCCCCGTGGTTCCCACCAAACACAATGAATATACCAGAGCGAAAGCGAAGTGGGATTCAACACTAATCATACTCACACCAAATAAACGCGAGACTACAAACATGAACGCATGTTTCAAATGAGCAACTGTCGGCCGCACCCATGTCTTGTTCGCCTGTCTCACCCAGATTTTACTTGATGCGATGCACCTCAAAAGGCGGAGTACTGGTAGTGTGATGAACAAAGCGATTACTGCGTGTACGGGGATATTGAAAACAAACAGCCTGCTTGTCGCCAGCAGGCCCTTCTCATCATTCAAAGTTGAAGCAGCAATGATCCCCGTCGCGGAGAGCCAGTACATGCCAAAAAGAAGTTCCATGAAGATGAAAACAAGAGAAGACCTAAAGCGATCTTTGACACGCAGCACGATTGGTAAAGGACGAAGGTTGTACTTGCCGACTGGACCAGCGAGCAAGCGAAAGATTTCCGGCACAACGAAAGAGACGATTAGGGTGCCGACTGCAAACTGAGTGAAAGGAATGCCTCGCATGCTAAAGATTTTGATCGTTTGCGGTAAGGCGCCGAAGATGAAGCTGACCATGCTGAGTCTCCAAGTACGGTCCACGGTGGTACCGGGAAGATCAATCATGTAATCCGGAGGTGATTCGAACACGTTGGGTCTTAGAGGGAGCACTGCTGCTGTGGCTGATGTGCTGTCAACAGTATCATGTCGACTAGGTAACCCAGACGGAACAGCATTGTGTGAGGGTTGGATGACAAACATCGTGGTCGAAGGATTCCAGATCGTTGAAGGAGAGCCAGAGTGTCTGATACTATCGTCACTGCTGATGGATACAGCATCTTCATTCAAGTGATCGTTTCCTGTGGAATTCACCCCGTTGCGGGGAAGCGCGGTGCGAATTGGCTCCAGCGCGCCACCATCAGATGTACTGATCGGGGGTTCTTTCCGTAGGAAGCCGAATGCTGCTAGCCATACGGGATCATTGTCGTTGCGATCAAACCGATCATACCAGACATGTCTGGCTGCGTCGAGAGGTCCACATCCGATAGCCAGCAGTACGATGAATTTGGCTATCATCATGCAAGTGTCAAGACCGCAGATAGCGAGACATGCCCGCAAAGCATAGCTAATTCGATAAGGCGCATTGAGGACTCGTCCCGTCTCTTGTAGGAGCACAGCTAGCATACAAGCCATGACTGGCCAATAAGCACTTTGCCAGGACACATGGTGTGCTGAAATGTCATCAGCTGCCAGTAAAGTTAGCTAGAGCAATGCCATAGTCGTGGTGTGCCGGAACATACTACAAGTCTCATCAATTGGGACACTGCTATTCGACGTTCCATTCTGAGCGAGGCTGATGTTCTGTGGGCTGAACGGCGGCATGCTGATCTTTTGTTGGAATGGCTGCCGAAGGTCAACATGTTGTTGACATGGGGAAGGCTACCTTATAGACACGGAGTGGTAGTACAAGGCTGAGAAACGATGGCTGAGCGAGGGTCTGAGAAGAACAGATGGGATTGGTCCAGTGAACGAAGATGCGCATGCAGATTGGGGGCTGAGCTCGCTGACATACGCCACCAAACGCGTGAACCAGTCAACATGACGGTGTAGGTCTGCGCAATGGAGCCCGACCACCATGATCGGTAGCCTTGGAGAAAGAACAGCGAAGACACCATGATCTACATGATGTAGATCTGCCTTGCAACTACTCCGCCCCCTCGACATCTAAATGACATGAGACCAGCTGCGTAACGTAAATCTGCCTTCTACCTCCTCACCCCCTAACTCCTAAACAACATCAACCCCGCCTCCTCGGCATCCACACCCTCCTCCACCTCACTCTCCACCTCATCACCCTCACCAAGCCCCACCCTCTGCCCAAACAAACTCCCAAACAACTCATCCCTCTGCCTATCCCCCCACTGCCCCCTCTCCTCGGGCGCCATAAAATTCTGCAGTTTCTCCTGCACCGTATACCTCAACCTGCGCCCCTTACTCGCCTTCGTA